CCCCCCCCACCCCGTCTCTCTCTCTCTTCCTCCATCTCTCTCTCTCTCCATGCTGTGTTGTCTCTGACTCCAGCATTTGCATTTCTTCCTATGTCAGGGATTTCCCTGAGTTCTTCCCCCGAGGTTCTTAAATGTCCATGTGTGCCTCCTCGAATTGTCAAAGGGGTTGACCAACCACACTGATAATGTTGCGAGTTGTGGATGCAATTGTTTGTTAGCTCGCTGAGCCTGTTTCTTTGGTGTGCAGACGTTTCGTTACCCTTCTAGGCAACATCATTAGTGCGGCCTCTAATCGAAGCGTTGGTGTTCTGCTTCCTACTGGATTTATATGATCCTCTGGTGTGATGGTCTATCGCTTCCGGCTCTGTTGTTTTAGCAGCTGTCTGTATGCGGGGACTATTTCTATGTGTTTGTTAATGGAGTCCTGTGTTGAGAACCAGGCTTCCAGGAATTACACTGCATGTCTGCTGTTCGCGTGTCTCAGTATGCTTACTTTGTCCCAGTCGAACTGATGGCCCTCATTGTCTGTGACAAGTGACAAGTGAGTATTCGTCGTGTCTTTTTACTACCAGCTGGTGTTCGTGTGTCCTGGTCATCAGTTTCCTCCCTGTTTGTCCAATGTTCTTTGCAGTCGCTGCATGGTATTCTGTATATCGTGTTGGTCTTGTTTACTGTCGGTATGGGGTCTTTAGTCTTTGATAACATTTGGCACAGTGTTGCTGTATGGTTGTGTGCAATCATAATCTTATGCAGTCTTAGGAGTGTGGTAGTCATTTCTGATATGTTTTTGATGTAGAGTAGCATTGCTAGTGTCTTTTCTTGTACTGTGTCCTCTGACTGTTGTTTGTTTTGTAGGCATCTGCAGATGAAACTTCTTGGGTATCTGTTTTCGGTGAAAACTTTGTGTAGGTGTTCCTCTTCCCTCTCCAAGTTCTGGGGTGTGGCAGTGTGATATGGCTCGTTTAAATAGTGTTTTGATACAGCTCTGTGTGTGTTAGGTGGGTTGGTTGCTGTTGAAGTTAAGGATTTAGTCCATTTGTGTGGCCTTGCTGTATACTTGGGTGTGGAATTCGCCGTTAGTCAGTCTCTCTACCATTACGTCTAAGAATGGGAGCTGTTTCTTGTTTTCTTCCTCTCTAGTGAAATTTATGTTTGCGAAGATGTTGTTGATAAGTTGGTGGGTTTGTTCTACTTTTGCACATTTGATTATTACATATGTGTTTGTCCACGTATCTTACCCACAGTTTCGGTTGGATTATAGGAAGGATTGTGTCTTCCAATCTCTGCATCACTGCTTCCACGATGAGACCTGAGATGGGTGATCCCATCGGTGTGCTGTTGATGTGTTTATATATCTGTCTGTTGAACATGAAGCGCGTTGTGAGGCATAAATCTAGCAGTTTCAGTAAACTGTCCTTGCTGATGTTGTTGCTGGTGTTCAGGATTGGTGCTCCTGATCATCTCATAATCTGGCTAGTGTCCTTCTGGCTAATGCTATGTCAGTGGTCATAAACAGTGCTGTAACATCGAAGGAGGTCATGATTTGGTCCTCTTCGATTTTTTTGCCCTTGAGCAGTGCAAGAAATTCTTGGGGGGCCAAATGAATTGAGTGTGGAGATCCGCAAATCAAGTGTTTGAGTCTCCGTTGTAATCCTCTTGCTAGTTTGTGTGTAGGTGTGCTTGGGAAGGAGACTATTGGTCTGAGCGGTATTCTAAGTTTGTGTATCTTGGGGAGTCCGTAGAAGTGGGAGGTGTTTAAGCCATCTGGTTTCATGCTGATGTAGTCGGTATTGGTGATCTCTCCTGTAAGTTGAGTTTCTTGAGTGTCTGCGTTATCCTGTTCTGTAGCTGTGATGTGGGGTCTGACACCACCTGTTGGTATGTGGTTGCATCTGTGAATAATGCCTTTGCTTTCTTGATGTAGTCTGTTCTGTTCAGAACCACGGTCATTCGTCCTTTGTCTGCTGGTAGGATTTTGATGTTTTGAATCCTTTTTCAATCCTTCTAGGGCCTTTGTCTCCACTATGCTGAAGGTGTCTGATTCATGTTTACAGGTAAGTGCTGGGACTACCGTTTGTCTGATGGCCTGTTGAACTTTGTTGGTGACTCGATTGGTTTACAGTGTTGACGCTAGTGCTGCCAAGAAGTCCGTTTTTTCTCATGTCCCTGTGGTTGTAGTTAATTCTGTGTATAGGCACGGCTTTTCCTGTGTGTGTGAGTTGCCTGTCGGACAGGTTCCTTACCCATGTGTCTGCTTTGTTTGTGTCGTCCCAGTGGATTAGTCCGGTTAGTTTCTCTTGTAGTTGAGTCTTTTTCTCATTCTGGTTCTCTGTTTTATAGTGTTAATGGCTTGTTCCAGTGTTGTGGCCCGTTGGTTGGTCGAGTTCTGGTACAAAGATTTTTGGCATGAAATTTTCCGTTTGCATGTGTGGAGGTAGTTGTGGGCGTTTGTGATCGTTGCCTGTAGTGTCCTGCAGCTGTTTTGCTCTGCTATTCTTCTTGCTTGCAAACTACTAGATGGACCAGGAGCACCGACCCTGAACATTGGCAACAACGTCAGCAAGGACAGCTTACTGAAACTGCTAGATTTATGCCTCACAACGCACTTCACGGTCAACAGTCAGATATACAAACAGACCGATGGCACACTGATGGGACCCATCGCACAAGCAGTGATGCTGAGATTGGGACACACGATCTTTCCTATCATCCAATCGAAACTGTGGGTAAATTATGTGAACACATTTGTAATAATCAAACTCACAAAAGTAGAAGAAACCCACCTACTTGTCAACAACACCTTTGCAAACATAAATTCCACTAGAGAGGAAGAAAACAACAAACAGCTGCTGTTCTTGCTTTTAATGGCAGAGAGACTGACTAATGGCGAATTCCACACCCAAGTATACAGGAAGGCCAAACACACGGACCAGATCCTTAACTTCAATAGCAACTACCCCACCATACACAAACAGAGCTTGCATCAAGACTCTACTTAAACGAGCTGCATCACACTGCAACACCCCAGAACTCCGGAGAATGGAAGTGGACCACCTACACAATGTTTTCACCGACAACGGATACCCAAGAATTTTCACCTGCAGATGCCTACAAAACAAACAACAGTCAGAGGACACGGTACACAAACGGTACACAGAAGACACTAGCAATGCTACCCTACATCAAAAATATATCAGAAATGACTACCAGCTCCTAAGACTGCATAAGATCATGATTGCGCACAATCCTAGAGCAACACTGCGCCAAATGTTATCAAAGAATAAAGACCCCATACGGACAGTAAACGAGACCAACGTGGTATACAGAATACCATACAGCGAGAGCAATAAACATTGGACAAACAGGGAGGAAACTGACAACCAGGATACACGAACACCAGTGGGCAGTAAAACACGACCAATATTCACTTGTCTCAATACACACAGACAATGAGGGCCATCAGTTCAACTGGGACAAAGTGAGCATACTAGGACAAGCGAACAGCAGACGTGCAAAGTAATTCCTGGAAGCCTGGTTCTGAACACGGGACTCCATTAACAAACACTTAGAAATAGACCTGTAAACAAACTGCTACTAACACAACAGAACCGGAAGCGACAAGACCATCACACCAGAGGAAGGAAGCAGAACACTAATGCTTCGATTAGAGGCCACAATGATGATGTTGCCTAGAAGGGTAATGAAACATTTGCATACCACAGAGCAACCAGCTCGGTGAGCTAATGAAGAACTACAGTTCAAAACTAGAGAGCATAGGTTTAAGCTGACCGGGGAAAGATTTAAACGGGACCTCGGGTAACTTTTTCCACGCAGAAGCTGGTGCATGTATGGAATGAGCTGCCAGAGGAAGTTGTGAAGGCTGGTACAATTACAACATTTAAAA